CTCCTGTGCTCATAAAGACTGTTGAATTTTCAGGAGTAAAAGTCATTGGTGTCTTCAATGAGCTGTACAGATATGAGGAAGTATCAGCAAGAGATGATGATGAGGTGGATGTATGACGTCCAGATTCTTTTTCTGTGTCTGTTTCATGTATTTGTTGTGTTGTTAGAGGATTCCGATATTGTGTTTTAACTATTTCATGTGTCGGCGTGAAGCTCAAAGTTGGTTGTGTAGCCTTTCTAGAAATATGAACCTCTGTGCTACTTATTTCAAAAGATGGTGTTGTTTCTGACAGCTTCTCAAGTGGTGTTCTGGTGAATTCAGCTTCTCTTTGAGTTTGTATCTCTTTCTTGTCCTCCGCACCTTGAGCAGTGCCGTCAGAATCCCTTGCTAATGTTTGTGTTTCTCCAGTGACATCATCAGAGGCCGATTGAGAGCCGTCCCTTGCATCTGGAGTTACAGATGAGGTCGTTCTTTCCTCTGTGGTTTCATGTCTTGCTGTATAAAGCTTGGTAAAAAGGGTTACGGACGTCTCATCTTCAGCATTTACAGTCTGAGTCACTTCTGAATCAGATTTTGTATACACTGGAGTCCTCCCTGACTCGCCCAAATCATCCTGTCCAGACGTCGCACTGACTGGGAGGGTTTTCATCTGGGCTTTTGTTGTTTGAGCTTCTGCAGTTGTTGTGGTGACCAGCAGCTCAGCTGGTGTTTCTGCCAGGACAAAGTCAGTGGGAGTTGTTGCAGCTGGGCCATCCGTTTCCTGTGTTCCTCGGGACAGGGACTTGACATCCACCGTTGGGGACAGAATTGGGGTTAATGCTGTGTATGTGGGGTCTTTTGTGGTCAGTGTATCTGTTCTGAGATGAGGCAATGATTCAACATTTGAAGGGTCATGATAATCCTTCCCTGGCTTTTCCAGATCTTCTGGATAGATATCTATATATTCAGTTGAGCTAATATGATGGAGATCAGTGAAGTCATCATCAAACTCTGTGGTTATTTCACCACCAACCCCCAGAGTTGTCACATTCATTACAATTTGGGTACCTTTGGCCTCTTTTCCATCTGAGCTCTCTGGCTCCAGAGTGATCTCCTGTTTACCATTTATAAAACTGACAGTCGGCGTGATGGTCACAGCAGCTGAGGGAAAAGGATCTAGACCACCATTCAGCTGAATTGGCTCACCATCAGCTATAGAGTGGAGAAGATGTTCAGACACAATTGGGAAAGTTGGAGATTGAAAGTCTTGAAGTTGTAATTTCTGTTCCACTGCAATGAAATAAAGAGAAAATAAAGTAGAAAATAAGCAAATGGTTGCAAAGCAACTCAAAGTTTAGGTGAGGCATTTAACAGTGCAAACAGTCCACAGGCTTTGATTTTAAATTCCTATAAAAAAATATTGTGAATGGATAATCACATTATACTATCTGTTTAAGCAAATAGCCCTACTGAAGTAAACTAATTTATTTCAATAAAAGCCTAGAGAATTTGTTTTGTTTTGTTTCAAAGAGATGGCTGAACATCACAGAGACAAACAAAACTCTGTCCGAGCAACCTTACTAAAAAAAACACTGCTTAATAAGAGGGTGAATGTATCACAGAATAGCAGCTAAGACTTTCTTTTAAAAGCAAAACTCAGAGGAAGATAACCTCAAAACTTCAATTATAATATATTCAAAAGACTATTCAAAGTTTAATACTATAGATCTTAAAGACGGATGATTTCAAAAGACTGTTCAAACAGAAAGGTCCCTGAAAGATACTGTTGGATGCTACACAATGCCAGGATGATTTATTGAAGAATTTACTGAGACCATTTGTCTAAAAAGAGAAAAATACATTAAAATGGGGTGTGGAATATAAAACACATAATTCATTTTTATACATTAAAAAGTTTAATATCACATTTTTATATCTACCAGGTTTCATAATTTGAAGTTAACACAAAATTGGATGGAGGTAGGAGGTCATTTAGTTCCTTTACTAGATGTTGTCTTTAAGCTATTGTCCTTTGTGAAATATGCGCACCCAAACTATACTCCGCACACTAAGGGTTAAACATAAAATAAAAAGCATAGAAATTAACAACTAATCCACACACAAGCTCTTAGTTTAATCAAGTCATCATTTGTCTCAACCCACACAGGAGTATTTGTTATATTTTTGTTTTGCATGTCATATGAAAAAGTCACTATTTAGCAATGACAACTAGATCTACCAGTGAAGAGGTCAAAAGCTACCCACAGTCAAATACATTAATTCTTTTGATTACAACTTTTCAGTCGTTTTTCTTCTTCCTCTTTCCTCTCAGTTTCCTCTCTTCCTCTCCGTTTCCCACAAACGAAGGTGTAAGGAAGATTATTGGTTGCAACAGACAACACCTGCACCCACTCAGCACTGCAAAACGACACCTGTTGCATATCCAGGTCAGGCCTGGGAACTTAGGTAATTTGCATGCTTTACTGAAATACCACCCACCAATCCTGCTGCACACATACGTGCTGTCATACAAACACACAGTCACTTCACCCACTCAGCGGGCTTCAGAACCCTCCAAGGAAACAGTAGATGTCATTTTCTTAACAGTTAATTCAGGCAAAAATACAGTTCATAAAACAAACGTTCATATAACAAAGGACCTAAAGAGGAAACAAGATGATGGAAAACCACCCCTTTGTTTGTAACCAAATATAGCCATGAACTGCATTCAACATGTCATTGGTAGAAAAAGCTTCCCTAAAAAGTTTCCAGCCCCTATGTTAACATAGAATTAAAAGAATGTGTAATATTGGACTTGTAGCAGAGGAAATGAGGGTTTGAAAATAGTGCTTGCTCAGTAAAGCACCATCAAACATCAAATACTTAAATCTTAAATATTTGTGTTTTTTAGGCTTAGCAGATCCGTTGCCTTATATCCAATGTGCAGAGCTCTCATCCTACTCATGTAAAACATCAATTAAACGCAACTGATCTGTTCTAAAATATGTGAGGATGGAATTTACCAAGCCTCCGAAGAGTGAATGATAAATACATGTTTACTCAGACTGAGAATGTTCTGTTGGTGGTTTTGTAAATTGCTTTGTGACATTTGTGTTTGACATGCCTCTGGGGATCAATAACTCAAAAATCATAATGTGTCATATAAACTCTTGGCAAACAGTGAATTTAACTGTCATCAATTGATTTGAAACAGATGGTCACAGCTCACAAAAAAAGCTCTGGCAGCTTTTGAACAACACTGAGCATTGGTTCACTGTTTTGGTGTTTGCTTGTTTTTCACACCCTGATATTAGAGTGCATTTTGTGACTATGCATCCCGATAAAAAAAGATTTTTCCTACTACGTCAGTATTTTCCAAGGTCTTTTGCCTACAAACTGGGAGGTCAGTAAAGAGCCTGAGTAAGAAGGTTGAAAATATGTTAACAGTAAAAGTAACTATAATCACCTGCTTATTTCAGGAAACCTCCAGCTGTCCTCACAAAAAAGCAGACTGTGAGTTAGCAATGACATCACCTCATGAGGCAGTGTCCAGTCTAAGCAGACGTCAGGCATCTGTGCTCACTTAGATAGACTGCCAACAAAACTCTGTTACTGCCAGGTTAGCTGTCACTCAGTTGGTTACACTCTGAGAGGACGACTGCAGATGCAGTAGATTTTTAATAAGATAGAAGAACATTTGCAGGGATTGTAAATGCTGCTTTTCATTTTAGGTACCCAGAAGCATGTCAATGTGTGTGGGTGCTGTTATTGACAGTTCCTCCCTTAAACACCCCCTTAAACTACATCACAGCACGCATCAGTCAGGAGTGGACTTAGTCCATCAGCACCACTTTGAAGGCACCCTTTCCTTGGAAGAGCACAATTCTCACAGCTACTGTTGGTCAACTCCAATAAATCACCCATATCCATCACCAAATACACTCTGCTACTCTAGCTGAACTACGGACAACAAGAAAACTCACAGAATTATAAACACAACAGCAAAAACTGCTTGATTGCAGCTCTCCAGACTGTTGGATGTCCACAAGGCCCATTTCATCCAGTAAACCATGGTAATCCTCAGATTTTTTACAAGCCAGGCCCCGCCACAAATAGAGTGTTTTTTGTAATTTAACTCACAGAACCGACAGTTTTTCAAAGGCAAACACAGAAGCAATTTTGTGTGTGCTCTTGTGAACAAATACTGACCACACAGCATATGCCTCATGCTGATGAGCTCTCAAGCACTCTGATTGTGTATAATTTGGAGACAAAATCATTACTCCTCCAAACAGGCAGCATCTCCCACAGGACTACTTTCAAATTTCTGTCAAACTACCAGCTGATGCTCTGGTATCCATTCAATTCAGAAAGTCCTTTTCCTTTTCCTCCGACACAAACTGCTTGACTAAGTTAACATATTTGTCACAATGTCAACAATTGGCACTTAATCTGGTCAGAACTAAGTATTGTAAACATGTTTAAGCAGCAGATGAAACAGAAAAAAGACAAATTATTGTAAGAGACTGGAAAACAAAATACTAAGTCATGCATAGAAACAATACGATCCAGGCGTTCATTCAGGTCAAAACTTCAAGCATTGGTTCATTCACAACATTTTTAACACACCAGTAAGCAGCTCCAATAAATTCACGTCAAAGCTATTTCCACCAATAAATTGTAAGAGGTAAAGCTAATTATCTTACCTGATGTGCTTTGTTTCTGAGTGATGGTGCTGGTTTGCCTCGGCTGCATCTCAGTGACCTCTGCAACTGGCCAGGCTGCAGTTGAAGGTGCTGACTCAGATAAATGCAACCCTTTTTTAGACGTGTGAGCAGTTGATTCCATAGCAGTGTCAGTGAGATCCGATGTGATTGTTGTGGTAATCCCAGAATCTAGACTTGTTTCCATCCCCTCAGGTAGAACAGTGACTGGGCTGTAAGAAACATCTGTCGCTGTGACATCAGGCTGGCTTGTGCTAACATCTGTACCTGAGTGGTCATCTGGATTCTCAGAGCTTAGAGGTTTTGGGGTTACATCACCACGGTCAGGAATGGCTTCCCCAGTATCAATTAGTTCGTCTTTGATTGTGGGTGAAGTTGTTATAGTTAGGTCTTCTTCTTGATCTTCAGGAGTGGGGTGAGGCAGAGCCATGCTGGTAGAGAACATAGAAGGAGGGGCTGTAGGATCATCAGAATCTGAAAACTCTTCCGAGTCCAACACTGTGGCAGATGATGTAGTGTCAACGGTGGTGCTAGGCAAGAATGTGGTAGTGCTGGTCGTGGTGGTGATGATGTCTACCACGGACACATCCACAAAGGATGTTTGATTGATCGTATCTCTCCCTTCAGTAAAAAAACACAGACAGAGACACAGAGAATAATGAATGCTACATATCTGTGGATACATCCAGTATATATACAGCATTGAACAACCTATAACTGCAGTGAAGGCTGTCAAATGCCCACTTAAAGGCCAACCTTCAGCATCTCTTAAAATATTCAACTAATTTATTTTAAATCTTTGTGTTTTTCTTTCTGTTCCCGGTTCTCACTGCCATTCTGTTCTCCCACGATGTTGAATTTACTCCCTCCCGTAACAACCAGGGCTGAGAAACAGGAATGGGCTGCATAAAAGGAGGTGTTCACCATTACATACTACAGACGTTTCCTCATTAAACTATCTCTGATGTAAGATGTGAGACAAGCTTTTTCCCTTATTTTAGAGAACCTGCTCTCAGAGGTTATACAAAATCTCACCAAAGTATTTCAATGTTTTTTTTGTCAAAGAAGTTGTTCCCTTTATGCAGTTCCTAAAACCTGTTGGAGGACAAATCCTTTTCAATCTGTACAGACCACCTCTCTCTTGGTCTTTTTGTTTAATTGAGTGACTTTGGTTAACATAATATTTCTCTTTTAAAATACTTTTTGGAAGTGGGAAAGCAGGAAATGGTGGAAAGAGTTCCATGACAGACGGGTACTTGTAAAGCACTTATGCCAAGGTGTAAATACAACACAAGTTAGAGAGCTGACATGACATACACAGAGCAGACGGTAAGGGTGGCCTGTTTTTGTGCCCTCTGAACTCTCTGGGGACTTATCACTGCGAGAGTTAGCATGGCCCAAGGGGCAGAATATGACCAGGCTGTAGACAGCTTATCTGCCCAACCTCTTATTTGTAAAGACGGAAAGAGCAGGTCAGAGGTCACAGAGGATGACTGAATTTAGAAGTCCAGTCGTAGCTTTGTCCATTATCCAAACGTCTGCTCTGATAAGTACAAGTGAGAATGACAGAGAGCAAACTGACAAAGGAAATGAAAGGTGAAAGACACAAATGGGGTTAGATAGTGACTTCTAAATGGCTGGGAGGTGTGGTATTTGGTTCTTTTTTTTTTTTTTGCTTTTCGAATGATCACTATAATCTGTCATTTGGTATTGTTCTGGGAATTTGGATTAGTTAAGAGCAATAACCTTTAGAGGAGTTAGTCTAGTTTAACTCAATTTTTGTGAAACCAAACATGTCGCTGTTTATGCATTCTTTTTATAGTTAGTAATAATCATTGACTGTGAAAAGAGGTCATCCCTGCACATACCAGAACCCAACTCACCACCCTCATCAACTGAGAAGGGGTTTGTCAATAGTAGCATTGAATTTTATCTCTTTAATATATATATTCTATATCCTAATTGAATATCAGATTTCTTTTCAAAGAATAAAGCTAAAGAGACCCTCTTAAGTAATATGAAGAATGTCAGTATAAGGGCAAAACCTGCTGCATTCTAACTCAAACTATTAAAATAATGCGTGTCCACTGCACAAAGTAAACACAGTCTAGAGCCAGGGCTTTCAGTCTCCTCTTAGCTAATTCTGTTGCCTCAGAGATGGGTGTGAGACAAAAATGGGAGACAGTGATGTCAACCAGATTCTGTAGTCTGCCACATTACACACGATTCTTTGAAAAAATCCTCCTCCAGCCTTTCCTGTGCGGTTACAGTTGTCATTGAAAGTGTAAATTGACCAAACATGAAAAAGATACACAAAATCAAAAGTAAAGAAAAGACGGGTGGCAGAGATTCAAAGCATGCGCTCTGTTTAAGAGGTGGGAATGCGCACAGTGGTGTAAACATGTAGAAAAACTAAGGGTGTGGAAGTAGAAGTGAGTACGTGTAGGAGATGAGCTCATGGTTTTTTACAGCCAGTCTAGGGTTTTGTCAGGGACTGGTCCACCATGCCATGAATCACTGTGTCTCACATTATATATGAAAATGAAACATTTAACCATGTAAAAAGATAGAATATAGCCTGATTCAATAATTATGTTTAACATGTCAGAGCAAAATTAGAAAAAAAATAAAAAAGTCTGGTTCCTAGAAGGTCTTCAATTTAGGTGAATATAACATCAGATGTACAACACATGATACACCAGGTTTTCTGAGCTGAAATGCACAAGCAGTATGAAAAACTACTTTTATCCCACATTGCGGTAGCTTGAAAAACCCCTCTAAAATACCTTGGCAAACTGAAGGGTTCACAGTCAGCTTAATGACTGTAAAGTGCCTGGGACCTGTGGTTTCAAAACAAGCCGAAATCATCACCTTTCCACCACCATGGCTGACAGCTGCTACGATGTGCTTGTGCTGGTACTCAGCGTTTGTTTTCAACCTGGTGCAGTGCATTTTAACTAACCCTTTCCATTTTGGTCTTGCCTTACAGTGTTCTGGAAGTCTTTGTGTTTATTCAGAGGCAGCTTTACAAACCAAAACCATGTACTAGGTCCTTTTAAGAGAGAAACAGCTCTCTCCTGACAAACATATCAAACAAGCCATGCTCAGTATTCTTCTAATCATACTGTCAAGGGCACTTCGAGCCTGTACATTCACAGATACACGGCCTGTGTTTTTTAGCACTGCACAGTCTAAACTTGTGGCATGTTTCATTGTCTTATTATCTCTTTACAGAGATGCTAACACCTGTAGACGAGCAGATGATTCAGTACATGTTTGACCACTTTAACCTCAGAGTTCCCTTGACAGAAGTGATGGTGCAGTTCTAACAAACCATTTCTATTTTTGTTAAATATATAATCCTTAAATAAATGGTGCAACAACTCATGTGTTGTTTATCTGAGCCTGGGTTTTGTCTGTTTTTAAGGAGTAGATGTTTTTGTTTACTTTGAATTCATCCCGATGCAGAAAATCTTGAATTTGCTGTAAATACACAAAATGGTGTGTGCGAGAGTGAGCTTTCACCTTTAAAACAGTAAGCCCCAAGCTTCTTAGTAGACTCTGGGAACCCAGTCTGGTTTCTGTAGCGATACATGGTCCTGACACCAAGCAGGCCTCCTCCACATTTAAGTCTGCGCACTGCAACGGGATGTCTTGCACTGCCATCGGACAGCCAGCCATAGTCACACTGGTCCAGCCCTTGTCTCCAAGCAGCATGAAGCTGGCCAGTGGTTGCCAGGACAGCACTCCTCTTCTTACACTCTTCACTGGCTTCTTCAAATGTCATTTTGTGGGTCACAGGAGCATAATAAACTTCACCTTGATCAAAAAGCAGAAGAAGTTACTATGTGCCAGTCAAAGGGGAAAAAAACATAGCTGAGGATTTCATTTATTATTAGAAGGATAGTACATTTTTTTCTTTTTATAATTGTCTAAACCATGAAAACACTCAAACATCTTATCAACTGAGATCAATTCAAGCTTAGGAATTTGATATCATTCAGATATTTCCAAATAGCCCAGACATGAGACAAAAATCTCTGCTGCCAAAGGCACAAGTCCAAAACATCTCCTACTAATCACATTTACAACAGTAGCTCATTCATAATGTCAATTTCATGTGGGAATACAGTGCAGACAATGTGTCCACGGTGTCTATGAATGACTGCATTTTACGGTTCTCATTTTAGGGGAATAAAGAAACGTACAACGAAACATCCAGCTATCAAGCTGAGAGGCTTATTTCATAAAGGCTCATCCATGATAGGCAATACAGACAGCTGTCTTTGTCTACAGGGTAAGACATATCTACAGAGCAAAAACATAATAAAAGCGAGGATGACTGCCAAGCATGTTTTCAGTTACAGTTGGGTGTAACATGTTTAAATACAGTGGTGTGGTGGTTAGCACCATAGCCTCACAAGGATCTTCAAGTCCCCGGGGGAACCAGGACCTTTCTGTGTGGAGTTTGAATGTTCTCCCTGTGTCTGTATGGATTCTTTCCAGGTTCTCCAGTTTGTTAGGTTGACTGAACGTTCGTGCGTGGTTGTTTGTCTTTGTGTGTCTATATGTGTGGCACTGCAATGGACTGGCGGACCGTCCAGGGTGTACCCGGCCTCTCACCCCTCGACTCCTCGGATAGGCTCTAGTATACCCCAATAGGGAATGAGCAGGTACGAAATGAGTGGATTTGCAAATATGATATGCTGGTATGATCCTACTGATTTACAGTGCTGAGATTAGAGAAACTTTCCACCCATTATTGTCATCCTTTTTAAAAGTAAATAACACCAATGACAAAAGGTCACAATACAATCCCCTAACCCAACTGCCCACGTTCTCCTGGACATATTCTGTTTGAAGATTAAATTGGTGGCCATGAGCTATTAGGATGAAGCAGGAAAGGGTTCTAAACAGTGTACCTATGTTAATCCTCATGATATCATTTGAGTTTAGCTCATCAGCAGTAACACATGAAAAGACAGAGAAAAGATGAGGACTTGAAAGCATCAGCTATGCCCCCATTATCACATTTTCACTGGTGATTTTAAGTCCAATAATAATTTGACTTTAAAAGGTGATGATGCACCACAATTCCCTTTTTCAACATCTGAGTTTGTTTTGTTCAGCAAAGTTTGAACAAAAGCTTCTTTTCTGTAAATTGATAATCTATTGTAATCCCATGATCATTTTCATGGTAAACTGTTTCAGCAAGAAAATGTGCCATTACCACTAAATGACATCTTACAACTTACCATCAAGTTTGTCAACATAACAGTACACATCATAGGTCTCTGTAGGTTTCTTCGTTCCATATGACCTCACACCAGGTTTAGACAGAAGGTTTCCAAAGCAGCCTTTTCTTGGGTTTGTAATTGGGTATCTATATGGGGGGAAAAAACAAAGAACCCCTCAAAATGTATGGATGAATCATCTCTGATTACACCATTTACAATTCTAAATTAATGGCCCAGCATCAGGGAACACCCCAGATAGGTGGCTTGTCCCTCACCAGGCCACATAGGTATAAACAAGACAGACAACAGAATTGTTAAGAGTTCTGACCTTACTGTCTGGTCAGCAAGCCAGCCAGCATCACACTGGTCAAAGCCATCCTCATAAGCTGCTTTCAGTTGGTCATAGGTGGCAATGGTTGCTCCGATGTCATGGCAAGTCTGGACAGCCGTGTGATAATCAAAAGTGTACCTGCTGCTGCTTGCTCGATAGTGAAAAACGACACCTGGCGAGAAATAGTTATGATAAAAGGCCATTTCAAGATGAGATATAATGAAACTTTGCGACCACTGCTGAAGACAGTCATCTGGAATTCATTAGCATAATTTCAGAGTGGTGAATTATTGCAAGTGTCTTATAAGGCACACTCTAGAAGTGAAATAATTTAGGCGTTCCACTCCTTTGGAAGGAAGGGGCTTTGCAATAAACCAAGAGGATATGTGAAATAGTCTACAGTTCACCACAAATAAACTAGATAACTGCATGTGATGCCATGGCCCTGAAATCCCCATATTTGTGGACAGTAAACAGACGCAGAAGATTTGATTGATAGTCTCAATTAACATTGCAGATAGTTGGAAAGGAGGTTGTGCAGACTGTAAACCAAAACTATCCCAGTGTCCCCCCCCACCCATGCCTTCAACAAGAGTTATAAAGCATCTCACAATATGTGTAAGCGTGTAAAATGTTCACAATGCTGCTCTAAGGATGTTTTACGCCTCTGCCCCATACTGAAACTAGTTTTCTAAGCACTGGGAATTTTGCTTGATTAATCTCACAGTGAAAGCTGAGTAAAATACTTGGTAAAGTCAATTGAGTGTCCCTCCACAAGATATCTCTACAGAAAAGGTGTAACTCAAGATGGCCGGGTTGCAAAAATGATTAGCTTGAATAAAGAATAAATAAAATTAGGTCACTACAGTACATCACGTGAATAAAGACACCAAGTCTCATCTGACTCTTTAAGAGAGTATCTCCTCTAAAATAAGACCATCTGAAAACAGTGGTTACACTAACTACTGGGCAGCTGCAGCTATCAATGTAAACAGAAGGGCGCCCGTAGTTATCTTGTGCCATTTACATTTCCATCACCACTTCTATCACATTTCACTGTCATTAGCCTCTTCACAGCAACCCCCATCGGCATTATTTTTTGTATTTAGTTTGATTCCAGCATGGCGTGGCGAGGAAGCTGAGACTCTCTTACCACTGACATCAAGGTTTACAGTATCCTCCGTGTCTTCGATGCCGTACATGACCTCACAGCGGTACGTTCCCGCGTCACTGGCGCGCAGCTTGACCATTGTCAGGGAGGCATCACCAACGTCTTTGGGGTGACTTGGAACTGACACGCGGTTCCTGTAACTCGAGCCTATCTTGATGACCCCATTTTGTGCCACCAGCACCGTGGATTCTACGTTCCCAACTATTTTTGTCCATTTGATCCTTAAGTAATCACTGCCAGAAACAGCCGCTCCACTGGGACTGATGACTGGTGCTGAAGTTGGTATGGTGGAGAAGAAGCAGGGAAGATTTACTTTCCCTGAGAGTGATCCACTGACTGGTCTGATGATTGACAGCGTGTCCAATGCTGAAAAACATAAAGCAAAAAGAGGTAAGTGCATTTACTTTCTGCTTTCTGCTGCTTATTTTTCTTTTAGCCCAAGTACACGCATATTGTAATATTTTGTTTACTGTATCGCTGACACTTAAATGCTATAAACTGTCTGACTCATTTACATTGATAGGGTGTGACCACTACACCCCAACTAATAAAAAAATAAAAGCATCATAGCTTGAGAGTGGTTCTTGGAAAGTGGAAAGTCAAACCTCATCCCTAAACTGATGGGTGTGGGAGCTCGTTGCACACTAAATGTACTGTATGTCAAAGTGAGCATGACGTTCAGGATAATTGGTACAAGAATCATGGTTCCATGATGCTATGGTGCTGCATTTATCTGCATGTTAGCCGTTTCCTCTCAAATGATCCCTCTTTCATCCACAGAAAGATGTGTAACTACAATGGGAAGATCCACCCGAAAAGAATTAACTGTGTCTCTGGGTAGTATTAGAGCAGTCGCATTTATATTCTCTGCTAAAAAGTAACAATCTTTTAAAGTTAATAAATAGTACTCAGAGTGGATAGTTGATTTACTCTTAAGGATCCCACTACAAAAATAAAAGAACTGCATTTATTCTAAATCCAAATTAGGCTCACTGTTTCAATCCCTAATCCTCTATTTCAGTTCTGTCGGAATCATGTGGTAAAGTAAAGAGAATGTATGACAGGGTGAATGAGTGAGGCTGAATACCACTAAGCCCCTTTGGAGAGGAAGACAATTTACTTTTCTCCCTTCCTTTCTCTTTTTTCTTCTTTTTCTTTTTGGGAAAAGGATGGGTTTATTCACAGGGAACAATGTAGAGAATGCTCAGGAAACAGTGGTGGGACAGCCCCAGAGGCATGAGTCCATGTGCTTTAACAGAGGGTCTTATTAGGATGAAGGATAGAACCAGCTGTTCAGCTTCCAGACTGGGAGCTGAGTCTAATTGAAAGGTGTCTTGAGTAAGAAACGATTGCTCCACTGAGACTGATGATAAGGGGCCGAGAGAGCCATGGGGGCCAATGGGTCCTGAGATAGAAACCTTGATGTCTATGTCCCCATCTCATTTGACCAAACTGGTTACACAAGGTCACCACAGTCTGACAAGAAAATGCTGAATATATTGATCCAAAAGAACATGGTTTGAAACAAATAAGTTTGAAAAAGAGCATAGCACAATAGGATCTTGTTAAAGGAGGTGGTAGAGAAGGAAACATGGTCAAGGAGAGCTGAAGTAGGAAACAATTCAAAGAGAGAAGGGAGTTTGAGTGAGGAGAGAGAGAAAAAAAACTCACAACTTACCAGTTGCAGCCGCAGCCTCACACAGATAACATAACCACAGGAGATGCTTAAAGTTTAGAATCATCTGTTGCAAAAATACAAAAAGCTTCGTTAAGAGACAGAGTTTTTCTCTCAGGGAGATACCCATTTATTTTCAGAAAGCTTGTTTGTCATTACTGGTATAAATGTGCATGAAAAAGCAATGAACAACAGAATAAAACTGTCAATATTGGGTTTCCTTTGCATTCATTTTTCCTGCCTTTCTATACAATTTTTTCAACATTCATTCTGCTTATATTTTACGAAACAATTTTTGATCATTTCATAGTAACTGAAACACGTTTTTTTCTCTTAATAATGTCGGAGCAGAGGCAGAACGTCATGTGAGGTCGAATTTGAGGCAGTTGGGTGAGTGTCGGACAGGAGGAGGGAGCCCCTCGGCCTCATTAGCACCCGACTGTATAAACACAAGCGGTGGGTTGCAAACTGCGGGAGTTCTCCATCAAATCGAAATGACGAACGGCTCGACATCATCACCCAAACATTTCCAGTGGCAATCCGTGACTGTAACTTTAATGGTCTCAAAACTCTCGTTGAACGTATCCAAAAAGTGAAGTCATCCTGGCAATATTGTGTCGTGTCAGAGTGGGGGGGGATGTAAAAAAAAAAACTTTAAAAAAAGTTTTTTTTCCATCTTGGAAATAGACCGCATACACTGCAAGATCTTGGATGGAATTTAATGAGATCTGCTGCTTCTGCATCACAGACATTAAATGAGCTGCTTGCAGGTCCTAAACCCTTTCCAGGTCTGATGCCTGCATGGGCTGCTGTCTGTGTCATTTATAAAAGAATTTATCCAAATTCTTACCTATTTAACCTCTTAACGTGATTATTATTATCATTAATCTAGAACGTTGTTACTCTCGGAATAAAAATAAAGGTAAATAACTCTTGTGGAGGAAAAATAGAGGAACATAAAAACGATTTCCTTTCCTCAGAAACGGGACACAACAGAGGAGGTCATCTGAGGACAACCACCGGCAGCACCATTTATAAAATGATAATCTACCTTAAACTATTATGTTTTTTTATTATTTATTTTACTTAATCATTACATCATTTTGGCAAATGTCGAGATATCAGTAAAATCATTGTTTTAGATTATTAAATTCATCTTAAATTTGACTTCTAACATAAGGCAAATAATAGATATATAAAAAAAAAACAACATATATATACTTACGTTTAAATGTGTTTTATTCCATAAAATGTTCAAATATTTACGAAGGTCAACAGATTGAGCTATTCCCAGTTTTTTAGCACGGGTCCCCTCCAAGATTGGCGCAGTGGCTCTTGTCTGGTGGAGGAGCCTCTCTTCCCTGTGATGCCCCTCTGTTTCTGGCTCCTGCTCCGGGACTGCAGCAGTTCTGAGTGAAGTGAAAGAAGTGCTGGCGAGAAACAAGTTCAATTTCGAGTAACCCCACGCCGTTATTCCGTCAGAGAGGAGGAGCCCTTCTTAAAAGAAGTGAATGAGACACCTTGTGGAGGAGGGACAAAACCTTAATTTGTCCATGTGCCAGAGAGTAGCTGCATCCCCACCTAATCGCATTTCTTTTTCTGGCTTTGCACCTATTAATTTCGGTTTCAACAAGTTTTCCCTCAGAGCATCTGCCAGGGCAGCTCAGTTATGAGATAGGAAATAAGCCATAGTTTCTATGCATGACATTCTTTCATATATGATTCTGTCTCTATCTCTATGCGCAACAGCTTGGTTTAACTTTCTCTGATGCCATATGGGGAGCGCACAAGTCAAATCCAAGGGTGCGAAGTGGAAACAGGGTGGTGCAGAGCCTCTGTTTAATTTGAGTCACAACATAAGGTTTGCTTGAAAATACCCTTGTTGTCAAGTTTTCTGATTTTGCCTCATTTCTCGCGAGTACACCCACGCAGTGCGTAAAAATATTTATTACATGACTTATTAGGATTTGCGGTTTCGTTAAGGCAGGTTTGGTTATACGTGAATCAGCTCTGGTGGTGGTGGTCTGGCTTGGATGACAGCCTGACTGAGAGGAGGTGAGGAGCCAGGAAAAACTAGTGCACTGGAAATTGTGCGATGAGCTTTTTCCACATGGGGTAGAGTCCTTATCAGCTCTTCACTGATAATCACCGTGATTGGCTACTACTGGACAAGAGCTTAGCCAAGTGAGATAAGACTGTGTCCATGTGTGCGTGGGCGTGGTGTGGCACTCATGAAGAGACAGTGAGTGGGTGAGTGATGCTTCCTGATACTTTACCAATGGCCCTGTTAATAACCCACTATCACTGACCAGTGTTTCTAATTCAAAATGATAAGATGAGTGGATTTCTCCGGCATGGATCACTGTTTCGTGTGATTTGTATATATTTTCCTCTCTAAAATATGTGTTATTTCAACATATCAAAACCAATAACCGAGCCTCTGTTTGTGATTCAGAAGTGACAGGAAGGTCTGCCAGCTGACTCTTCCAAATAGGACTTTTGGAGTTGAAAAGACATTTCAAAACAAATATGGTCACCAGTAAAGGAAACAAGTTGAGATGAGCTTCAAGGGACAAGGTGTCCTTTTGTAGACCTTCATTGGACACTCTCAGTCACACCTTTTTTCGCATTCTTTAAAAAAAAAAAGACAACCTGATTTGCTAAATAATTCCAGCTAAATTCATTCACGAAACCTTCTAAAGTCTATAGTTTTAATTCCTAGAAAACTAGGGTGGACATTGAGCAGGTGGCTTGAGGTTGGCCCTAGTTACAGAAATCTAGTTTGAACTAGTGCGGCACGGCGGTGTGGTGGTTAGTGTCTGGGGGGCTTTCTGTGTGGAGTTTTCCTGCCTATGTGTGGGTTCTCTCTGGGTACTCCAGGGTTTACCCTGCCTCTCTCACAATGACAGCTGGCAAAGCAAATCTCAAATCTCATCACATCCAACAGTGTAGTCTCTATTCTAATTTACAACTAAACAAATTATCAAATTAATGTGACAAATTTGTGTTCCGACAGGTTCATGTCACAACTATATTTTTTGCAGATGAAAAGGGGGCAAGGGGAGGTCTAGACATTAGGACCATATATCAGTTTCTGACCACAAATCAACATTGAAATCCCAGTTGGTGCTCACTGGATAGTGGGGTGGCCTAATCGTTCTAAATCATTATCGTCTGAAGGCAGCTGAAGGGTGAAAAGCCCCTGAAAGGAAAGCTAGCCCCTAAAGCCTGAGGGCCCTTGTAAAAAGACGTAGGTGCCTTTTCCATACCTGTGTGCATTGTAATCATGTTGGGGGCCCAAGCAACAGTTACTCACCACACATCTCTCTGCAGCAAGGCTGGACTGGTCTGGACAGACAGACTTTGAAAGAAAAATGAGGTAAAGGAAGCAGTATTTAAGCTAGAAAGAAAGGCTTCAGGCAACAGACTGTCAAACTGAACTAATTTCCCATTTCAAGTCAAAAAAGCTCTGATCAACACAGGAAGGTTTTGAAATGACACTTACACTTAATGAATGTATATTCTAAATTTGCCATTTTAAGCACAGTTGAATTTGGAGTGTGCAAACTACACACAGGAAGACATAGGTCTCCAAACTTTTTAACCAACCTCTCAAATCTCAAGAGTAACTAGTTTGGTTAATAACTCTTTAGAGTTACGGGAATCTTTAAATAATTTTAGTACTTTACGTTCTAAATTGATGAATCATTATTAGTTCAAAGGCAGCAGGTCACTTAGTGCTGTGTAAAAATGTCCTACTGTATGTGTACTCATGGAAGAAGTCCCGTTGCCTTCAAGAACCAATAAATCAAGAGTCTCAGCCCAGTCAAAGAGTGTTTGATCCTGGTGATCTGCTGTGCGGGCCTCAAGATGACCCACATATCACATGACCAATAAATGTGGGCTGCCTCCGGCCCCATGCCACCGAAGATTGCCTAAAAGATGTATTAAACTTCTCTAACCTAAAGAGGCTCCTCATTAGAAACTGAATTTTAAAGTCTGTAACTGCACAGTTTTAATACTATTGATCAAACATAGGTCAAACATCAGAGAGCAGATTCCACAGAAAACATCTGAAGTTGTTTGATATATTTGACAATAGATTTGCTTCTATTCAAATACACAGAAATATCCAACACATATTAGATTATCTTTTTTTTTATTCAGAGCTTTGCCAGGAAATAAATGATTAAGCAACAGTGGGAAACAAGTTGTGTAATTAAAGTGTCTGACCAAACCCAAACCTATGAGACAGAGAGAGATGAAACAGCTTGCGGGGGTTTCCTGGGGTTCGGGGAAGAGAGCTTGTGGTGTGCATGTGTTTGTTAGTGAACCCCTTGTTTGGAATAAAGCATGTGGGAAAACGAAGTAACCTCCTGGCAGACCTGAACCCTGATCCTTTAGAGTCAAGTGAGGAGGTCCAGACCACCGCTGCTGACCTCTTCAGCTTCAGTGAAAAGCTAAAAAAGAGAAGAGACTGCATAGAGTCTACCATATGTTGATTTTCTTTTATTTGTTAATCGTACCTACTGGCATTATCTGAGGAGAAAGTGCATAATTCTGTATACTGCGTTTAAACAGTAGCGATTAAACTTTTTTATGTTAAAAACATTTCTTATCCACTTCTTGTGGCCAGATTAATCATGATTATAAAGTTCATTTTGGAAAACAACCATCCAGCTTTTAATCAGTACTCAATTTAAAAGTTTGTATTTATGTTGCCCTGGAGGTGCATCTGTAACTATTCTACTAATCACTAGAAAGATACCGTCAATGTTTTAGAGCAACATATACCCTGACAATATTTTTAAGGTTATGTCTTACACATTTCAGAGAGAGAACAGCATTGACTTCAATAGCAGTCCTGTCTGTGTGCTAGACTGTAGAAGACTACAAACACAACTCCATATACTGCATTTATTGCATCATACCGGCCTCACAGTAGTGTCTGAATGCTGCACTGGTCTGCCTACAAACCGTTGCTTACAGATTAGCTTCCTCCCTCCAAATCCAGATGAGCTAATAGGCTCATTTAATGGAAAATATGACAAACATATTAGTTCTTCATGTGGCTCTCCAGAGCATGTTGAATAGTGTAGTTATCCTGCGCATCAAAATTAATTAAAAACCGTGGGCAAGAAAAAATCTAAAACATTGAATGTACTTTTTTCTGAAAAATAATATTAAACACTTAATCAAGTGTCAAGCCCATTCATAAAAAAAAAATCTGCAATAAATTGGATAAATGTTATCAATGTTCCAGCTATCCTTTAGCAATCTACTTTACTGTGAGGTGATACAAACAAAGGCAGAGGAAGTAAGTAACAAAAGGGGGTGGGGGTTGGTAACCAAACTGAGACCATTCCCACCTCACAGATCTACAGATCTCTACCATTTGGACTTAACCTAATACATTGTGGAAAACAATTACTCCTGCAACTCTGCTGTTTTCAGCCTAATCTTGACTTATGTTGTCTTAAAACTAGTAAAATGGTCTCAAAAGTGTGAAATCGACAGACTATGGGCGTAATCACCAAAATCCCAGGGGACTTATGTTTCTTCATGTACTTTAACCACAGCAGAAATGGGTGTAGTTTTCAATCCACGCAGTTCAGCCTAGAAAATAGAAGCACAGCTCAATGATGCTTTGGTGTCTGACCAAGAGGAAGCAAGTTTACAACATAATGCATTCCCAGCTATGAGAGAAAATCAAGTCAGCTGTGAGAAAAACCATTTTGGTTTCTTTGGTTCCAATTACCATTTTAAAGAAACTTTTGGTAAGACCCAAATCCAGTCTTATTCATCCATTTAAATGCCTATGCGGCATTAAAAAATGCTTTGTAGTTGCTGTTGATCACTGTACATTTCTAAGAAGGCAGAGCATTTTCATTCATTTGAATCAGTCAGTTAACAACAATCAGTAGTTAACAACTTGTCCATAAGTTGGCAGAAATTATTGTTTGAAAATTTTATTAAAAGTATAGGTGCATGAGCAAAAAGAAAAGAAAAAAAGACAAAACATTTATTCACGTAGAAACCTAAGGGTTGCTCCTCATCCTCTTTAAACCCGCAGAACATTTGGTTTAATTCAAATAATGAGGCCAATCAGTTCACACCATCATGTCAAAGAGAAAACACTCGTTATTTGACCAAAAGGAGGTTTTAATGACTGCCTTGCAGAAGAATGGGCTTTCTTCGTCAATGGCTATCCAAGACCAGTGCAGCAAAGACTGTGAATGGGAGACAAATCAGCACTCAACTAAATGGAGTTTTGTAATTGATTCAGCCACTGAGTAAAACAGCCAGAAAAGTTTCAGAACATACTGCCAATGCTTTTATATAAGCGGTGATATATATAACAGCACAGGATAGGCCAGAAAACGCAATTTTTAAAAAACAATCATTCTTTCATTTTATTGCAGACAGTATGGAATACCAAAAAATAAAATAAAAGACATTTCCAAAACTCAAAACGTTTGGTAGGGCCATAGGGCTATGTATTATTGCTACTCTTAGTTACTTTTTCTTGCCTTTCATTTTTCACACTTTTGCACATTTGCTTGTTTCAGGGATGTGATACTGTTCTATTTTCAGATCATTGTGCATATTTATCCCTTCACCAAAACACACAATTGTTTTTACAAGAACAAACGAGGCAGATTTTAGCAGATATACATTTGTAAAATGGATTTCATCTTTACACAATGCCTGAGTGACACAAATTTGGTAATCTGAACCACACCTCAAGCGTTCACTGAAACCACATGCAGCAGTCTGCATGCAGCCTAAATGTCTTGGGTCTGAGGGAAAATAGGGATGCTTATTTGTAGGAAATAATTTTTGGGAGTAACATAACTTTTCACACCAACATCATGCTTTAAATTCTCCACACAAAGGTGTAGTTTTCCAAGAAAAGTAGCCATAGGACTGCATGACTATGTGCAGATGTCCTAATTGGTTATTTCACAAGTTAATGGAAAACAGAGCCTCAAGGTTAAGACACACTTTTACGCAGAAATCCAGAGGGCAGAAGCCTTCACATTCATGAGGAAGGCTCACTGCTGTTTTTACATTTCCCTGAAATATATCCTTTATGTTTCAAACAGTCTTCCCACTGCTTGACTTCCATGTGTCCGGCTTTCGGCAGAAATAACTGTGCAACCCACTGCGAGCCAAAGCCACTGCAGGTTACAGCGTCCAGTATGACTGGCCAAATGAAAATACTTTTGCCTCCATGAGAGGAAAAAGGCATATTCCCTTTTTAACGAAAAAACATAATACAGTACAAGAAGAGGGGTTATTTTCTAGAACAGCATTAATCCATCATGGGGTTACTAACCATTATGATAGACCAAGACCACCTGGACCAGTTTAATGCAGCGTGACTAAACTACATAGCTAATTTTTAAAAACCTGATTAAAGAACATTGCAAATGAGATGTAATCTTAAATTTGCATTGCTGCTTGTATGAGGCCAGTTTAATTCAGACATTACAGTTCGAGGCGGCAGCCAGCGAGCGCACGCACGGCCTGACATGTGACAAAGAGCACTCTGTCCCACTGCAGCTCTGTGGCGGGAGAGCTGGGAGACTCCTCTCACTTCCCCGACGGGAATCCTACAGGTGCACTTGGTAAGTGAATGACGATGATAAGCAAACAGCTGAACCATTAATTTCAGGCTGAAGGAGGCCTCAGTGCGTTCTCCCAGCAGAAACCCCTTCAGGTGCACGAGCACATGTGCAGCTGATTGATGGAGACTGTCCTTGGTAACTGGCAGCGTGGCTTTAACGTTTTATTTTAGTCACTCTTTACATTACTATCAGCCTCCCTTGGCAGGTAGTATGCCTGATAAAATTCAAAATGTTGTATGAAGTCAATTTTCATTTTTATTGGCGGGGAAGGCATGTCACAAAGCAAGAAGATCACAAAAATCTCATCGGCACTTTAAACCACAGCGACTTTTGAGCTCATACAAAACATTTGACACTTTTCTTCACTAAAATATTAATTAGGGTTCTTTAAGACTGTATCAGCTTGAATAACCTGCATCACATTTGACTAAACGACCTGCCTTTATTTACCAATGGATTAAATAGTTTCCCTTTGGGATTATAAAAGCTGATTCTGATTCTGATTTGCCTACTGTTCAGTCACCATTACTAAAGACACTGATGGAGTGATTAAGTGCTCAGTGGTGTTATCAGCTTGTTGGTTTGGATGGTTTAAAGTCTCGAACACTATTTGATGTTTTTGGACCTTCATTTGTTCTTCATAAAAGTGCCCTTATTGTGCTAACAGACTATCCAAGATACATCTATTTTTTTATCCATCCACATGTTCCTAAACATTTTTTTTTTTCATCTCACAGCATAAAACACCAGGAAAAATGTATCAAATAAAGTCAGACAGTGATGTACCGATGAAAACATTAACCAGATAATAATGGCTTAAAGTTTCATTTCACAATATCTTGAAGCATTTTTGAGCAATATAAAAACAATGACAATGCCAATATTCTCCTTCAAATTTTTTAATCACACTTTTTAGAAATACTGAGTCACTTAAAAATATTCTTGAATCAACTGATTTGAAAAGTGTACAAGTTTGAAAATGCATTTGCAAAACAAGAAAATAACAAAAACAAAGTAAACCCTTGCAAAAAAATGCATTTAGACTTTTCAAAATTACACATTTTGAGTAATTATGAACAAAACTACTGACATTTTGAGAGTAGTCGCTCCCACTTTGTTCTCATCATGTTGTTGTGCGCTCATCTGCAAATTAGCCTTTGACACTCTTCCCTTGTTCTCTTGGTAAAATACCTAATTGATGGAGTGTATAGAGGAGAGAGTGTGACATTCCTGTGGGGATTACTTAACCAGCAAGAACGTGTTCCAGGAGGATTATCCAGGCGGTCACCCGTGGTCCTCAGCAGACAAAAAGGTATCATCAAAATGACAAAAGACAGCAACAGCATCTAAAAGCCAAAGGCAGAATTGTCAGATAAAAACCCTGAACAGGTTGGTTCAATAGTCCCAGTGTGAGGAGACACTGCAGTGACCTCAGGACCTAAAACTGGCAGGGGAGGTAAAAGATGAGTGTGAAAATGAAGACAGAGAGGGACAACATAACCCTATTAACCCTCTGGAAAACACCCTTCAGGTGGTTTTGATCACAGAATGCTCATCAAATAAAAAGGTCATATGAAGAAAAGAAAAAAGCGGGTGGTCAAGTCATTGTTTCCAGAATGCTAGTTTAGGAAGTAAAAATTACAGAGATGGCATAGAGTTTATTTTCATAATGAATAGAGGGAGGAAAACAACTGCAAGACATGATGAAAAAGCAGCAGCAAAAGGGCCATGATTCCATGCTGGTGACACCCTGTTTTCTGGGTGTATCGAGTTGTCCCTCAGAAATGACTCTTTCATGGGTCTCACACAAAACTGAATCTGATGGGCTTGGCAGTAAAACTAATCATGCTCAAGGCATTAAGTGGGACTGTGTAGAAATTGCTTCCATACTTAACATCCACTCCATGTTATTCATAACAACACAATCAGTTCCCAAGGAAGCGCTAAAGAACATGAAGCGCCTGTTTTGTGTCCCCTAATGCAACTAATGAAACTGTTGGCTGGTTGGAATGCTAGAACTTCACTAGCCAAAAGTGGCTTACCAGATAACAAACCTTTTCATGTGATAAAGGATAAGTTAATTCATGATATAAAAAAACAGATTGCCTTTATTAGACAAAAAGGAAATAAAAGACAATGCGAACACCACGTTTAGATGTCAAATTTAACTGTCATTATAGACCTGTTCTTTAGGAAATATAGTCCAATATGAGATACAGAGCAAGGCCCTATTTCATTAATCTCCTGGGAAACTTGCTGATTTCGATAGGAAAAGTATCATCAAAAGCCACCATTAATCCATTAAATCTGAAAATAGAAGGATGAGAACTGAAGAATTTGGTGGAAACACATTTAGCTGCCATGTAACTTAGCAGGACAGAGCTACACCACACACTGCAGTTGTTTTTTGTGTTTCTTTGCCAGGCAACACCCAAATGTAAGCAGGGGGAGAATCCAAGGGTCTGAGGCTGCCCCATTTTAAGGAAGTGCAACCAAAACATGCCAAAGAGGTGATCGTCTTACTAAAGAAACAAACAATATACTGGGTGGCAATGCAATTACCCCTTTACACAAAGCAGATGAGTACAAATTATCTTAGAAGACTCATTTAATCTATGCGAAAAGTTCAAATACTGTAATAATACAGGAATATAAAGGGCTCGGCTGATTCTGTTGGATGTTGGAATGTGTTGGTTTCGCTATTATCACATTGATTATGACGAGAAAATTTAAGAAGGGTTTGTCCAATAAAAGTTAAAAACACGTGTTACATTATCTCAACATTGCCTGCGCAAGAATCTTCATTACTATATTTTGAGTCCTGTTTTGTTTTGTCATGTATTGTGTTGTCAGGCAAAGACGTGCGAAGAGCAACAGGTCATAACTGGTCATAACATTTATCAGATTCACCTGTGATGTTATTTCTGTTCAGACAGTGCTTTGCTCCGGGTGTGTAGCTGCTTTCGTCGTGGCTGTTCATCTTCTTCATCAGAGAATGGCTGGTCAATAGAGATACCCTGTGGCACCAGGCTTCTTCCTGGATAAAAAGTAAAAATTTCACATGTAGATGTAGCTTTTCTTCCTTTGTAAAAATCCAAAACATTGTACATTCCTTTACAAAAATGTTTAATCTGCAACAATCCACTGACAAATCCTTGTTGTGACGAAATGTTTTTGGATAGTTTCATTTCAGAGAGCCAACCAAATGCAAATCATGCTTGTCTCTCCATCATTGTCATCGCTGGTACATCTGTTGTAGTTTTAGGACACATTATCTTGGCAACCTTTGTTAACCCGGGACAACTTCACAACCTTTATCGGCAATAGAGATCTGACATTCCTCACAGGTTTGGCCACAATCGATTATATACAGAGAGACACACACCTGTTTGCCCTTTAACACTGCCACCAGCCTATTCACATTCAAAGATTGCCCGGCTGAGCTGTTGTGTTAAAACAAAGAAACGCTTGATCTGAACAGATTCAAAGATAAAAACCTATAAATTCAAGGCTACCGTAGATTTTGTATTCACGGTTAAACAAATTAAGCATGTGTCGACTTTGGTGTTTCATGTCATTCTTATCAAGAATGACTGAAGTGACTATTTTTCCCCCTCCTTTAATTCTCCCTCTCTATCTGTCTTATCTTTGAGCCCCTCCCTTGTGAGTGATGCTTCCTGTGTTGGCACTATCAGAAGCTAAACCTGGAGGGAGCGGGTCAAAGAGAGCCTGCAGCTCTGCTTAGCATGAAAACACAGCCTGGGGCTCAAAGGTCAATAGGGTTAAAGCATGTCAAAGGGGAAACCCGTAGCCCACTCAAACGTCAGCCTGTTAGCGCGTGAGTATCTGATCAGAATCCAAACTTGCAATAGTTAAATGGGTGGGGACTCAAATCGAAGACAGCAAGGCCAATGACGTGTTAAATTGAAAGAATGTGTGAACATTAAGGCCTGTGACGCTAAATTCGTGTCGTCATGTCTTTGTAAAGAATGTTTTTTAATTATTTGGCTGCGGATGCACAAAAAAAGGGAATGAAAATAACTCCAGACAATCATCAATTATCTTTTTATTTTATTTATTGCTGTGCTTTCAGCCGGGGAAGAAGAACACATATTAATTCTTAATGTTTCAACGCTAAAAACACAGATAACATCAGTTTGATCAAACTGACAAGCTCAAAACAAAAGACAGCATTGTAAAACCCCGCATGTGTGTGTGAGAAAGTGAAGTAAATGAAAGCGAAATGACACACGCCGCTGAGGTCGCTACAACATCAATGTGTGTTGCATTTGTGGTTTTCTCCGAGTGGCTCTAACACAAATGCAGCCATTGAGCGAGTGATCAGCAGGTTATCCGAGTGGTGCAGCATGGGGGGATTGACTCAGCACATGTGATGTCACACAGCTGCTCTGCATGACGCAGGAAGGAAAAGACCACCTTGCGGCCAGCCGTGCTGAAGCAATCACGGCTCACTCACTGACTAGTATTTCCCAGAACCAAGTCTCCTGAGGGGTATGCTCTGCTTTTAAGTTAATGCGCAAACCCCTGATTGTATATTCAATTACTTTATACTGCTGAGTTTATGGGACAGTAAAACCTGTTACAGAACTGAAACGTAATGCATTTTACTCAGAGTCTACGTTTTTATAAAAACACATCATGACCTACAGGATGATATCACAGGGAACAGGAGTAGGATTAAATTAGCCGTGTTCACATTAGGATTGCACTGCTACGCCAAGATGTGGTGTTTGTGTAGACAACATGCACTTTGGAGGACAACAGGACCTCTGGATAGAGACATCCAATCAAAAAGTTTAAGTGAGGTATTAAACAAAGATGACATCTCTGTTGCATCAGATTCTTATTTAAATTTCCTAAATTAAGATAAAAAAACATTCATTCAACAATGACAGAAACACAAAGACACTCTCGAACACACCTGTGATGAGGAGCGTTGGCTCCTGAGATGGATGGATGCTCTGATCTGTCTGCTTTCCTGTTTCCTGACTTCCGTCCTCACCCTGAGTTGGATCATTACTGGGAGGAAACACAAATTTAGGATAGAATTAAATGAGGAAAAGAGCCAGCAGCTTAATCACACAGAACTTTATAATGAAACAAAGACTGACTGTGGTATAAAATTATCAAAGCTAAACTCATTAATGTCATTGAAATGTTAGAAGTGGCAACTCTAATTATGTTGGACTTTTCACCAATTATTATTTCTGGCATTATCAGATTTTGAATGGATTTTCTGGTATCACAGGGCCCAAATACAAGCAGCCTTTATACCTCTGTGTCCCCTCCTGCAGCCGATGGACAGCATCCTGTAGACCTCGGATCTTGGCCTTCTTTTCATTCAGCACCGCAACAAAACGTGAGTACAGGTCTTTCTCTAACATCTCCTTATCCTGAACGTGATGCTCCAACCTGTGGAAACATGTGTAAACACAAAAAGGGAAGGAACATGTTTTAAAAGTAATGCACATTCTTGTTTGTCTGCATTTTGACTGTAATTTGTTTAGTAATTTAATCAGTAATGCCTGAAAACCAGCATGAGAATCATCCTTAATGTATGATTCCATTCATTGATGGAAGAAACCAAAAAGCAGATAAACAGAAACAAAAAAACAAAAAAAGATTAACAACAAGTGGGAAAGCAGCTAAAGAGCTGACATGCAACAGCACACCAACATTACAGTACTTCTGCTGATGCTTATTATCCAGGGAATCTAGCTTCTCGTCCTTACTCTGTAAGTATTTGCTGGTGATCATGCCTCAGTTTCCGGTTCTCCTCCAACAACTGGGTATTTTCTGTCTCCAGGTCTGTGTTGCGCTGCAGTGACTGGCTGATCATCTGCCTGGTGAGCTCCACAGGGTCTGGAGCTGGCTGCAGCTCCACAGAGCCTAACGGCACCTATAAGCAGGAGAGGAAGAGGAAAAACGGCAGATGATGAAAATGATGAAACCAGAACTGACCCGTACATAGAAACCTAGCAAAGGGAAACAGTGGCAAGAAACAGTCTTCCTTGCTGGTTTGCTGGCTTTGGTATTCATGGCCAGCCAGGGACAATAGGCAGAGTGAACTTGAGGTACACTGTAAACACTCGCTTTATGAACAAGCTCCACAAGAAAACATCATGAGAAGAACTAACCAGGCATCAGAATCCTGGCCGTCATGCATACACTGTAAGATTTATTCCAACAGTCACTTAACTTCCACAATACCCTACCAGTGAAAAATGAGTAAGCATTTGCACCCTCCTGTCATCAGGGCAAGTTCTTCAATACAAAGGTGCCAGAAATATTGTGTCAGATTTTCTTTGAAGTGGGAAACAGCTTTAGGGTGATGAGGTGTGTTGATGTGTCTGGGTGAAACACTGAACGGATTCATTGGTCACCTGTAAACTATGCAAGTGAGAACAAACTTGCCTTTCTTTTGATTCTCATCTGTGGGTCTTTGGGATCACAGGCAAACTTCAGATTTCAAGAAACATTCCTCACTGGGTTTTCATTTTGGCACTAATTTTCGCAGCAGGACTGAGGCATTACAGCTGGAAATAGAAAAGATTTCCCCTTAGACGATGTATTTTACAGTATAAAGGAGGGGAACACAACTAAACCTATCGGCAAACAGTTATATAACAATTCTGGTTCGATTAAGACACAGAAACAGAATATGACCTAGTGTGTACCAAAAGGTGACCCCTCTGTTTGCTGCCATGGACATTTCTTCCAGTTACGCAGAGCTGCTGCTTAGTACACAGAAAAACCAGAAGGTTATATGGTGCTAAATCTTTTCTGGGCCGCACTGAGGTCGCACACCCACTGTAATAAAGCCGTCATCTTCAAAAGGTCTCATTAAATATTTGTCATTTTTGTCCTGGGCTGACGTTGTCCTGGCAGGCCACACAGCTGTTTTCCCTCTAATGTGCCACTGACACTGGCTTTACAGTGTTCTTTCAGATTTGCATCTCAGCAACTTTTTCTTCCTGTTACTGGAATGCTTTATTCTGGTTCTCTCTCTCTTTCTTCATTTACAGTGTCATTCATTTGATAAAGTATTTGTTTTCTTGAACAAAATAAAACAATATGATGAAAGTGCATTTTGTCCAGGGGAAACCCTGCCTCTCCCCCCATGACAGCTGGGGTATACTCCAGCGCCCTACTGATCCTACTTATCCTTCAAGGAATATGTGGATTTAAAAAAAATGGATGAATACTGTGTGTCTGTTTGTGATACACAATATCTTTACAAACTCAGGTTGGTTTTTTACATTTATGCTGATTAATTAGAGAAGAATTAAGTCCCACTGGATTAAAAAACTGCACGGAGACATGAGACAACAAAAGCGAGTGAAACACACTGAAATTGTAATTGAAAAATAATTAAAACCTAGCTCAGTAGATTTATGGACTGCAATAGACAAAGTGCTCAGGGTTTTCTTTTTTTTTTCCGTTTCATTTTCATGGACTGATCCAAACAAACGGGGACTTCAACAAAGCAAACCTAATGGGCTTAGGACCATCCGGAGATCACCCTATGTCTCAGGCAGGTGATGCTCCTGAATTCTGAGATTTAGAACAACAAAACAACATATTTCATATGTCCAGTGCAGACTTCTCTCTTGGAGGGATTTTGTGAGTTGATCTACGAATAATGCAGTTGGGATCCAGGAAGTAGTAATGACCGATGGTCTTTCTAATGGGTCTCAGAGGTGTGCAGGTGACCATGTTTACCTCCAACGATACTGGACACAGAATCGTTACATTTAGAGTTGTACAGTTTGTGAGGACAGAAAATCAAAACCTCCCTTCTATCTCTTTTACAAAGGCCTCCCCCTGCTTCTTGCCATCAGAATCTAAATCTCCACTGTACTCTGCAACCGAGGGCCATGAAGCAGTAAATCAGCTCACATGAGAATGGATATTGGAAAGGCTTTGAACTTTCTGACATGTTGATTGCACACTTCAAAGAATGGTGCAAGGCCCTACATTTACAGTACAATTCTCGCTCCACAGTAATGACTGGTCAAGCTTTGCTTTACCTACTTCCAATGTTTCAGAGCATAAACCTTCTTAACCAGCTCATAGATAGTTTAGGACACCACAAACTAAATCTCCAGGTGCACAGGCTGTATTTTCTGAATGAACTATCTAACAGACACTCAGCTGCTCTTTAGTTATTCTGTCCCGGCTGTCTTTAAATACAGAAGTTTACATGTTTCGCTGTCCTTCTTTTTAAAAGGAATTTAAACCTAGTGATAAATCTTAAAACGTTACTAAGCAGCATGGCAATTTGCAGCGATAAACCACAGAATAATTCTTAAAAAGCCATTGGTCACTCCTAGCCCCAGTTTTGTCGCCTCTCAGGAGGCACAGAGTTAAAGGTCGCTCAGAATGTTGCCAACCTCTTCCAAGATGTGGGAGGTCAGACTGTTTGTCTCTACTGACCAGCCCACGTCTGCATTTTTTTCTCTCCAACTGAAACAACAATAGAATCAAGACAATAATCGCAGCAACCACAGCAGATTTCAAAATATTTGAGTGTGACTTGCAACGCAGCGTGATCGGGGTGAAACATGGTCGCTGCCCCTGAAATCAAATGAAAGGCTATTCCGTTTCATCTGAAGTAAAATTACGTTCTGCATTCTGACAACTGTCCTGTGCATCATCGACATTTAGCAAACTGTGTGGAAGCTCTTTTTCTTAAAAGAATTTGGTCCAACTTAACAATGTCATCATTGTGTGTGGTCTAGCTGTTTATTTGTGTGTCTTAAGCCAGCCAGTGACACCACTGGGTTAAATGTTGACGTAGGTGTGTGGGATGGCAGTCCCAGTGAAAATGATACCACAACATGCTGTGAGCACAACATTGCCGACTTAAATCAGAATTTATAACCAAGGATGGCGATAAAAGATCCGTCTTTAACCAAGATAATCGGAATAACGCATTTTGGAAACCATTTAGTATTTTTTAGTAACACACCTTACAGCCCTCTGTAAACTTTCCTCTGCCCTGAAAAGTGACAACACCTCAATTACAATAACTAAGACAACATTAAGTTCTTTCTATGTATTTTCTAATGTATTTTTTTCAAGGAAACAAGTAGGTGAGTGCCAGGTGCATGATGACAGAAAGACACTGTTCACAGTCGGGCACAGGCACTAAGCATGAGAAATGTGGGCAAAGCAGCTGAAATCTGATTATCCCATAACTTTCTCCATCTGCTGTGAGGAGGTGTGAGGACAGAAAAAGAGCAGGAAGTGGGGGGTGAATGTCAACCGCAGACTGGCAGAGCTGCCAGACAGTACACTACATCACAGGACCAGCTCAAGAGCAAAGAACTTCTACTGTGTACTTTTTTACGACTTATCTTGTCTTTTGACAGATATTTCATAATCCATAATCCATTTTCAATAAGTAAGAAGAATATTATTAAGATTTACTCATTACTTTCCCAGAAAAATATATGATATGCAAGGACAAGCTGCTCTTGCTGGTGATGGATGAGACCTTTTTGTGGTCAATGTGGCCTCTCGTGCCATAATCTTTCAATCTTTCAGAGAGCAAACGAACATTTCAATACAACTAGTTTGTAGATCATTTACGGTGATCACCTCTGTTTGCTTTTGGTGTCTGGATGACTCAGAGCAATTATTAAATCATTAAAATATTCTTTGTGGATTAAAAAATGTCCCGCATCGACTGTGGATGTAGTCCTAATTTGTCCGGCCTTTGTTCACATTCAATAAAATGATGCTACCAAAAACTTGTCCCTCACAGCTTGACTCCTACTTTCAACCAGATGTAGATCATCCCTCTCGATGAGTGGAGCAGCAGGATTCTGGAGGAAATTAAGTTGACAGATGTTTTATGTTTGTCATAGGAAACAGCTCACTGTGCAGCATGTCGCCAAATGCAATTTTCTCAGCAGCATTCCATGTTCTCTTATTCAGATTAAGTCATCCCAAATGAGGTGGGAAATGACACCATATGTAGCTGTGAGTGTGTTTGTTCATTCACAGTTTAAATTTGACAGCCTGATCCTTTCCCAAGTTTTAGTGAAGTGAAATGGGAAAATAAATAATGGATGATAATACATTAATATGCAAACGACTTATTTCTTTTGGGTCCTTTCCAAGCAGCACTTTCTATATTATTCATAACTTTTTTTCCTAACTTACTTTATCTTGCAGGTGTTTGCATTATAATTTTCTGATCTCTGTTTACCTTGCTGCTAAGCGCTAGTCCTATAGCCTACACTGTTTATGTTAGCATGATGCAGGACATTTCATGTTGTCAATATTATTATTTTAATTTGCTTTATGTTTTTCCAAACCCAACGGGACGAAAATGAAACAATTAAAAGATACATTTGAAAAATCCTCTTCCTTGTCTCTCTATAAACCTACATCATGTGGAGGCAGATGTTAGTAGCATCAAAATCTGCGTTTGGATTAAATAAAACAGGGTGCAATGCACAAATCAGTACAGCAACGTAAACCTGACCTATCGCTAACCCTTTTTTACCCAATGACAGAGTGATACTTAAATAGACATTAAGGAGGAGATAGTGTTTAACTTGCTAAACACCTGTTTAGAAGTAATCTAACAAGAAGCACACAATTACATTCATCATTACAACTACTGGGGTCATATTCATAAAATATTAATGTCAGGTTAAGTTCACCACCTGTTTTGTCTCAAACCTCTTTTCTTCTACTCCCAAAGGAAACTTGCCAAATTTCTGGGCCCTCAAATTATCTGGCTGAGAAAATGTGTTCCACTTTTGAGCCTCAGACATGTTGGGGGAATAAAAGGGGGGAAAAAAGGAAAGAAGCAGGTGTTACACTAGAGTAGTGATTAGTTTCCTCGTAATGCAGGTTGCACATGGAATCTGAGATTATCCTCCATGCACATCCTGTACAGAGTGATGATTACTGTTTGTCACACTGGAACATGGACTGCATATTCTTTAAAACACTCTGAGGTTGTGGTGATGTGGTGGCCTTTATTTAGCCTTCATTAACTAATGTCGGAGGTGTCTCAGAGCGTAACAAAACTGTCTCTCAAGTTCATTTTACCTGGAAACTGTAGCTGAAATGTCTCTCTTCACTACTGTATCTTGACCTGCAGTCTCCTAGTGAGTTTTGAGTCTATATTTTTTTTAACTAAAAACTAAACTAAAAAATTTCCAGAATTTCATAATAACATTTTTGTGTGCCCAATTTAAGGAGTTAATGAGGACATGGTTAAAATATTTTTTTTAGAGACTTTCTCACCATTTAGATCTCTTAGACACTCACTTTGTCTTCCTCTATCTCTTGGGGTTAAGATCAACTATCCCCGACTCTGTGTATGGCTGCCATGTACTGTATAACATAGCCTACACTGCAAATGTGCAGCAACTAGTTGTGACTTTATCTTCATTGTGTAAAATGATTGCATGGAGAAAAAAAGGTGACATGTTTGTAGTAATAGAGAATGGACTAATTAACTGAGAGGTTCAAAGAGATCAGTGCCAGAGGAAGAATTTCTACACTTTTTGCAACAGACACTATAACTGACCCACCTGTTTGCCCACATCTGGACCACTTTTGTCGTGGGGGCCTCACCAGCTTACACGTATGTAGGCCACGGAGACAGATATGTTTTCAGACAGCCCAGGGCATTCATAGTCTGTAGATGTATCTTTCTGTGTTTTATTCTCTCTATAATTTTTCTTGCTAAACAGTCACACAAGTCAACTTAAAGTCTATATCTGAAAATAAAATAAAAAAATTAAAACTATGGTTAGTTGTAGTTGACATTATATTCATAAGACTGAAGGAGTAGGGGTATATATATACATATATACAGTATATATATATATATACTGTATATATGTTAGGCGACGGTCACAGCGATGCTGTTGCAGGCATGCTATATAGTTTAATACTCCGTGGTGACACCAAAATTTAAATGCAAAGAAGATTTTGTCTCAGAGCTTAAAGCCTCGGGTTACAGGCACGCTCTGACTCGAATTTAGTCCTCACCCACAGCGACTTGATAGCATAACTGTGGCTATTTAGAGGAAGTGGGAAGAAAAGTCTGGAGCTAATCTGTTCACAGCTGTAGAGAGAGAGGGTCGAGACAGGACTGTGTGGTGAGAACAAAAAATGGCATAACTTAACAGGACAAAAGAAATTCATATTGACATAAACAGTGTTGTCTCCCTTCTAATCACAGTTAAAAAATATTAAAGTATATTCTGGAAAACGTTTTCAACAATGTTGAAGCTTATGATCTTTTCAACTCTCTAGAATGATAGTTTTATGCCAAATAATATGAATGAAATCAAGCCGCATAAACTAATTTCTTGGAGACACAATCCCTCAAAATGTTGTTAAATGTGCCATGATGTGGCAATAAATCCTACCATTTTTCTGATTCAAACTTATATTTGTTGTCTTTTTGGTACAACTTTATGGTATGAAAAAGTTCTGACTCATTTGCAAACGATCATGTGTGGTCAGTTTTGTTCTGCTGATGACACTTGTTAGGAGGGATTTTTATGAAAAAGGAGTCCACGCATGTCAGGACATGCACATCTACACGTAGGCACACTATACAATAATCTTGAGATAAAAAAGAAAATAAGGAAGGGGGGTAGGAGAAAGAAAAGAAAGAAGTATAATCAACTGTTGTTTAAGATCTGAAAATGTGGACAGCCCTGTCCATAAATCAGGATTTTATGGTCCCTGCAGTTGTCCTAACCTCCTGGCCTTATTTCAATGGTCAGCTCTGCTAAGACAGCATCCCAGGACCCCGAGTGACCTGCTCCCTGAAGGCAAACGCACCCTCTCACAGTTCAGAGGAATAAGATCAAAATCCACTCAAAGAACCATGACCTGTCCTTCATCAGATACGTCACTCACTGGGAACTGTCTTCAGATAGTGTTTGCAGGCCGCTGACTACTGTTAGTATCTGACAGTCTCTTTTTCAAACATGTATAACAAAATTACGTTTTTTGCATGTTTGTTTCTTTGTTTGAGAGCTACCATGTCCTGTTAAGTTTTTGTCGGCACGTGATGATTCAATGATTCCAATCTTTGGGCTTTGTCCACAGTGACCTGAGGGCCTTTATAATTCTACTATAATGGGGGACTATATACCTTATCTTTAAACAGCCCCCTGTAAAAAGAAAAAAAAACGGAAACGGTAAAGCAAACTTCCGCTCTGTTTTGTTGTATGTCGTTAGAGGCAGTTGTCCTTAGGGAGAAACTCAGAGTAATGTTTGGAGCTTCAGTTGTGAGGTACTGATACATCCCCAACACTGATCCAAAGTACTCAGAACCAGCTATAGCTCTCATTACTCAACAGGACAGGCTCACTCCCTGCAGTGTCAAAAGCTCCAGTTATTATTTTCAGGCCATTCGGGGACGTTATTTGTAGCTTTCATTTGTTAATTTATAATCAAAGATAAATACAAGGTTCTCTGTGGTTAGACAGCTCTCCCAATTATTCTGACAGCTGCTTTGATGGCTAATTGATCATGTAAAAATGACTATAAGCTAAAAGTGTTGTCTTACCGAAATGTTGTTACAGATTTTCTTGTATGAGAGCTGACGGTGATCTTGAGAGAGGTGGAAAGAATACAAGTCGCTGTCATCTCCTGCTGTTCTGCATCCTCTTTTGCTGTCACTTCCTACAAGAGCCTGGAGAAGATCCTCAACATATATCTCCCTCGTAACTCCCATATCCTCGGCTCCACTTGTCACCTCATCCTCTGAAACTGGAAAAGTAAAGTATTGATCAAACAACAGATTTTTAAAAGGGATTTTTCTTTACACATTATTTCTGCTTTGACTGAATGTTGCACAAAGGGCTGGCAGAATATTCCAGAGCAAAACTATAAACATCAATTATGTAGTAACACATGAGTGCATGAGCAAACAGAAACAGAAAACAGGGAATGTCATCAGCTGTTGCACAGCTGCTCATGCTGGCTTGAGGGTCTCAATTAACACATCAAACACCGAAACATTGACGACCCACAAGCCCACACATAGCTGTCACAACCCCATCTCTACCTGTCAGCTCCGCAGATGGACGGCAAAGGAAACTATTGAGCAGTTATGTTCCAGGTGTCCCCCCAGAGAAGACATAGTCAGGTACATATGTAACTACACACACATCCACCATTGACTTATGCATACAAAGACATGCTTTGTAGATTTTAATCTACTTTATACACCTGTAAGCTGCAGAAAAGCAGTAAAGAGGAACGATGAAACAAGGTCACTGCCGTCCCATGAGCTAAAGGACCAGAACAGTTACATTATTATGAGTTGGGGTCAGCCAGGTGTCTACACATTTTGGACAGCCAGATGAATGGTACCCTTGGGGACAATGCAATGTAGTCAAGAGTCAAGAGCCTTGTCTCTATTCTACTTAAGCCTAAAATTGTTTGTCATTTGTAACTAATATATTCTTACAATGCTGAGAATAATCTGAAAACTTTACTTTCTCCAATCCATGCTGAGCTGCTGTTAGTGAGAGCTAGTGTGAAGCCAGCTCCCAGGTCTGAAGCCCAGTCCACGCGCAGGAAGTAAGGGGTGCCTGGATCAGTGCTTATTGTGATGTGGCGAATTGTGCCGCTCATCTTGGTTGTATAGACTTTTTGCCTGCAGAAAATAAAAGACTGGTTAAGAAACTGTAAACCAGATGCTCAAATTAACTCAATTTGTTTGACTGCTGTTAATATCAAACACAATGATCTATGTCCAAGACAGTGCTGCAATGTAGCTTGATGTAGTCAAGTTGTGTTAATCTCCCATTTCCATGACTGTGCTATATCATTTTATGACGAAAACTGTGTGTGTCCTTGCTACGTTCTTGCTTAGTCAGTAGGACCACACGGAGATTAACAGGTTTTGGCAAGTTCTTGTGTGGGAGAGTGGGCTGACTACCACCAGTGAGGTAATTACATGCTGTTAAAGATAAATACAGCAATATTACTGAAAAGCCCAAGTAGCTGTCTGATTTTATTCAGTCTGTTCATCTATTTGCATGTACAAAGAAACCTATTACCTGAGGTTTGACATCTTCCCTTCAGAATGTGAAGTGAAAAATCTCTTTAAAAAAACCTAAAGAAATATTCAGAATGCTTTTGGAACAATCACTAAAGGTCCAATTTGTTTCAGAAGCCAGACTTTTTGAAGCAAAGTAAACTTTGGGAAAATGAGTCATGTACAAGTTCCTCATGCTATGATACTCAATCATTAACCAATACCACTCTGATGATTATTCAGACCAAAATTGGAACCACATTTGCGCTTTGACTAATCTCTTCATTTCCTGACTCACAATTGTAATTAATGTAATTTCCAGTAAAAGAGGCTGATCTGAGGATAATCATTTTAATCTCCCTGATTGCTCCTAAAATATTAGTGTAGCTTACTGAGAACACGTTGTTCTTCTTCACTAGTTACTTGGAAAAACTTTTACTTTGTTAGGAACGGTCAGTCCAGAACATGTGATTACTGCTTCCACAAGTAGTGAGAGGTGAGTTGGACAGCTTCCTTGCTTAAACACAGGGCAACCTGTTTGGAGATGAAGGGACAAAGACAGCTAAATTAGCAGTTAACTTATATGGACATGTTTGAAAAACATGAAAATGACCACCTATGGACATAACGTTGTAAGTTAGACTGTGACAGTATGTTTTTTAGACTTTTTCAAAGTATTCTTCGTCATACAGAGTGCAAAAGAGATGGGGTCAAGGTTATTCAAAATGAGACAAGTACAAGGAAAGTGCATGTACTTTCTCTCCACAGAGCACATATCTTTGTGCACGTGCACAGTGAAAAATGCTACAGATTGAAGTCGACCCTTTGGGCCAAAAGACGGGGTGTGGCTGAATGAACGAGGTACCCCAAAGGCATCAACTTTAACCTCATAAAGGGAACCCAACTACTCATTAGTTACTGTAACATCTGTTGTGAAGGGACGATGACCCTGTCGTAATGACAGAAGGACACTTCAATTAAATAAACAGCTCTCTTGTCAGGAATGGGTAGCCACACAAAGCCATTAAAGCCAATTCGTAAGTCTTACCATAAGCATCTGTTCAACCTGCAAACACAATCACTGGAATGCTTAAATCATCTACTAAATGCCCCCAAATCTGTGACACATAGCTTTTTTTTTTCTTATAAATTTTTGCTCAACCACTCCATTTCCATGTCTAATGCAGTGCCTCATGTTGTAACACCTTTGTGCAAATTGCATGTGATTATACCAGTGAATGTGTCTGTCATCTTTCAACCTGGCAGTGCCCATGTCAGATAAAACACCTGAAAAAAAACAACAACTATGTAGCCAAATGAGGTTCTCCAGACATGATTCTGTGTAAAAAAACTCATTCATTATGCATCTTATACTTAAAAACAAGCAGTTCCTGGAGAGATAATTAACTCTCACCTATTAAGTGGGGACAATTCAGTCCCTTCACTGCCCTCACACTGCGCTTCACCCCCCATTGTTGCTTTCTCTAAGACGACTGTTATTATAATTAGCCTGGGTTTCTAACGGTGCAGCACTAAAGAATAGCAAGTAGGGCTATTGTCTTTTTCTAGTTTAATTCTTTGCAGAAATTTGTTGTCACAATAGGTATCAAAACATCAGCAAAAATGCAACAGTCGTTGCTGATTTAAAATCTAAAACACGAATGCCCAACCTTAACGTTTGTGAGGATCAGACTCTCAACGGTTAATATTAGCTGTAATTTTGCAAACTATTCTGAAGATTTATGTTTTAACTATTGTGCTACACACAAAGAAATATACATGTGGCCTGAACATTCTAGGGGGTTAAAGAAGAACATAATACTTTATACAGCATGCACCACTTGTAATGCACATTACCAATGTAACCTCATAACTTTATGCCATTCCCTTCATACAAAAGATTCTAGTTAGCATTTTTCTGAGAGTCTCGGAGTAAGCTTTACTTTTGGAATCAAATTGCAGTATGTGAGTGTTCTAAAAAATTGGAAAAGGTTTATTCAACTCGAGAAGGATGACACACACTGAGACTACATCAGTGTCTGATTTGACTGGAGCACTGGGAACTAAAGTGGTCAGTGCACTGTAAACTATATAACTGAATCATATTAAGAGGAATGTGAGCCTGTTTACACTTGCATTCTGGCAGTAAAATATCTAAAAGGTTATTTATGTGTGGTTTAGGGTCTGACAGACTTGCTCCGAATGGCTCTCTAGGAGCGCATGGGAAGCTAGGGTTGAAGGGGATTTACAAAACACAATTTAAATGCAATCAAGATGCGCTGTCTGGAGGGAGGAGACTTCATTGTGGAAACGTAGAGAGAAAACTGGACCACAAAAATTCTTTTTGACGTCACCACGAAACAATAGGATGTCACATACAACAAAATATGATCATAATTATTTTATCCCTGCCAAGGTGTAGACCGAAGCAACGGAGTTTAAAACGTTATAAATTCTGAATCCATCATATAAAGTGGTTCCCGTACAAAACCCTGCAATCGTTTCATGAAGTATCATATAGAAATAGAACAGTTTTTATTTAACAGCGTTTTTGTACCAATGGTATTAGCATGTTAGGAGAGAGTGTGTTTCATTTAATGTTACAACTTCCGGGTCTTGCAGCGCTATCTAACTACCAGTGCTCTAGAACATATTAATCTTATTTAAAAACTTACGGGACTGTATCGGTCAACTACTGCGATGTCCATATGAAGCAGTTTTTGTACGCGAGTAAAAAAATGCAGTTTTGAGCTTTGGTACCAAGAAATTCAACCTTCAAATCGATCGTTTTCTACCAATCAACAAATGGGATTTTTCAGCAGCGTACGTAAAGACGTAACGTACGCTACGTAAATTCCAGTCAGCAGGAAGTGTGATGTGGCTTTGATTCCCATCGAAAATGGTGAGTTTGTTTTCATCGTTTTGTTACGTTTGCTCTTTGCAATCAATTTTAAAAATCTTGAACGAACCACAAAGTATTACCCGAGTCGGAAACACACCGCTCCAGCGACTAATGGTGGCATTTTGCTGGAAGTAGGCTAAGTAGTTGTAGCTGCTAAGTAGTATTGGTTAGCTTAGATGAGCTAAAAGTTTAGCTACTCGAGCTACAGTTTCACTTATTTTGCCAGCAAATACCAATATGTGATCAAATTATAACATAGCAATTGTTGTGGCATTTGTTACGTTGCTTTGCAAGGACTACAGACATATGAATAGAACTAGTGCGATCACAGTCATGGTTTTTGGTGTGTGCCACGTAGCTGCAGCATAGCACACTGACTAGTATATATCGGACGTATTCTTCGTATTGGCCTGATGAGGTTCTTGTTGATAAGGTCGTCCGGATATTAAGACCTCCTCTGTACTTGTAATAACGGGTGTCAGTGCCGGAAGACTTTGTTGTGCTAGAATTGTAAGTGCAAACCTTCAGTTAAAGTTGGATTTCATCCGACTAAGGTTGTAAACAAACGCAATTCAACACACTGTCATTAAATTAGAAATGGAAAGATTGTAGATCAAAAGAGTTTATAGAAAATGTTCAGACGTTTTTAAACAAGCCTCGATAGGTCCACGTTCTTTTTACAAGCCAAATAAGAAAATGGAAATAAAAAGTCCAAGGCAAGATTAACTTGCATATGTTTGGAACTAAAATTGATGTAGAAGTATATACTGCAGTTTATCAAGATTTAGGATTTTCACTGACACTATGTGGCTACTTCTGCAGATAAATCCAATACATAATTTTACATGATGTGCAACTGTATGACGTCTGAGACATTGTGCTTGATTTGACCATCTGTAATATGGAAAGTGTCTTTGAAAGACTACTAGTAACTACAACTGATGACTATAGAAAAAGCATATAGGTTTTAATTTGAGTGTTTCTGTTATTAAGTTTCTGGATTGGTAAACAAACATTATTAAACAGGACAGTTTTGAGAGAATGTGGAAACATGCGTTCTTTAACCCTTTGACAGACAGAAGTGTAGAACCTGGTGTCCTGCCTGCACAAACAGCCCAATCTTTGTCACCCATCAGCCGGTTCTCCTGCATAACTCTCTGAATATTGTATTAGTAAAGTGAGGTTTGTACCAATACTGGGAACACTGGACAATGTTTGTACTAAACGCATAATTCTCTTTCATCTTCCAGTCTGCCATTTTCAACTTCCAGTCTCTGCTAACTGTGATTCTCCTCCTGATCTGCACCTGTGCCTACATCAGAGCGCTGGCTCCCAGCCTGCTGGACAAGAATAAGACCGGGTACAGTCCCACTCTGACCTATGCAGTGAAGAAGCTGTTGTTGACGGTTCTCCATGGTGCTTTCACCAACAGTATGAGTGTTTTTGTTAAACCAAAAAGCTGCTGTAGCTCAAATTTAATTATCTAACTGTTTATAAGTTTATCTGAGCTATTCGTTAAAGTTTCTACAGTGGTTTCACTCTGCACACCAGGACATGTTTTTACAACTGACATTGACATCTGTTGACAGTAGAATGAAGTAGCAAAGAGCCTATTTTCCGTGTTTATTATTCTTCAGTGTATGAAGTCAGTGATTAACTTATCATACAAAGCTTATACGGGTCTCTGATTCAATGACATGTGCCATAAGGCAGTAAAGGAACATCTCTACTAAATAAAAGCTTCCAACTGAGTGGCAGAGAATGAATATAAAGGGTGACTTCATAGTTTTCCCACTCAACTGATTTGTTAACTGGGGAATGAGTCATTATTTATCTTGATTTGTGGCCACAGAGTATACACACAACAGGCCTGTGGAAGGGAATGTGAAGGTTTCTGTTTAAAATCATTTGAACAAAATAGATTAAGAAATGGCTGAAAATTCATTATACATATAATATATATATATTTTTTTAAGTTCCTTTTACACATGCAGCCGTACAGACACACTCACACATACACTTGTCATGAGGATGAGGGCCTGGAATGCCATAATAGCCTCAGCTGTCACTGAAGATAAGACATCCTCTTGCCCCCGGCTTTCTCACTGGTCAGAGTGGGATCCTTACATGGAGACAGCTTTCCTTGCTTTGTAGAAATAAGATCACAGACCTCTTTTAATATGACACACGGCTGACTAGGAGCTACTTTGATAATATGCAGCATTTTACACCCTCGGGGCATTAAAAGAAAACTACCTTTTACAAATCAGTTAAACATATTGCAACAAAATTCTTCCTATTTGTAATTTTCTGTCTGTTTTATCTTGTAGACTGTTGGGAATTTTCTGGAAATGTGCCAGAATAGGTGAGTGATTTGTTTCTTCCTCTGTTCTTTTGTCATCATCGCTATTTACCATGTCAGTTATGCTTTGTGAGGTCATGTTTTTGTTTTGTTTTTTTCCCTCTGTTCTCCAGGTGAGCGGAAGAGTCCGTGGGTGGCTTGCTGCTGTGTCATCATGGCTTTTAGTATACTGTTTGTACAGTAACCCATTAACCAAAGACAGCCAAAAATGGGAACATTGAAAAAAATGGACAGACATGGAGACCATGATCCAAGAAGCACAATCGGACCTTCGGTGGCTGTCACTTGGATTACCTAAAACCTGAAAGCTGTCACCACATGCCATAGCCACAGAAACACTGAATGAGTATAGGTAGGGGGCTGTGGGTGACCCCATAGCTCCCAAGTGTGTTTAAGGCCATCCACAGACTTAAAGGTTTGCATTAGTGTTTGCTTATGTGGACAGTTTACTCCCAATCTGTGAGTGCGTTTGTTGGTCAGTTTTTGTTTATCTACCATTTTATGGGATCTTTGTTTAAACATTTCAGACAGATTTTTTTTGTCCTAACGCTATCACCATGAAAGTCCCCATGAATGAGCACTCATAAATTTTCCAAAATAGTAAGGGATTTACATTTTTACTAATGACGAGTCCTCTTTGTGTCTAAAGTGGTTCAGCATCGCTGTAGTTAACAGAATGGTGTTGTAGTTCTTCAGGTGCACATCTCTGCTCAGTGTTTGCCTCAGAAAGCTACAAATGTTTTTAAAGTCAGTCAAATTGCAGCTATTTATTAAAGTACCTTCTTGGACGTCTGGCTTGAGAATAATTCTCGTTCAATTAAAGCTTTCCGATCAGAGCTTTCTGTCGACGTGGGCTTATATCGGGTGTTAGAATGCAACGCTGTAAGAAATGTCATTAATAATGACTTTGAACAAGCAAACTACATGTCAAGAATAAACCTTTTCTGATCTTCTCTCTATATGGGTTTACTTATATTTTTTAATTAAAACACTTTTGTGATGACAGAACTCAGAGTTGTTGCTCAAAAATGGGATGGAACTTGTAATGAAAATAAGCAGAACGCTGCTCAGAGTGACCACATCATTAACAAGCCTTAACTACTATAGGTAATAACTTCAATGTATTTATAACGAGCTATAATATCTGAAAAGGTTAACCAGTTTATCGAATCCCAACAAATTCTGTGGACGCAGACTGGGGAAAATCTAAATCATGAAGGCAGTTCAATTCAGTGTGGGGAAACTAGTTCTGCACAACCCTTTCTGCTCACTGGTCCGGTGGACACACTCAGGTCTGATATTCTGTCCAGTTCCCAGCAGCCCCTTGTTAGGGAACATACATCCCACATATTTATGCTTCAGGTTTGGCACTGCCTGTTGGAGATAAAGCATCAAGTGAAGCCTGCTGGTAAACTTGGTATTATCAGGCTGCGACGCGGATACAGGAGACACAGAGGAGTGGGAGCTCTCAGTTATCTGTATCTCTGGCAGCAGAGATACTGATGATCCTCGGGGACATGACTGGGTCAATGAGCTGAGTAAATGACTTGGATGATGCTCGCCTCAGTAGATAACAGGCACTATCATTTCTATTCTGTGTTATTGGAAAGACTGAGGAAATTACTGTTGAATGTGGGCACAGTAAAGTAATGGCTGCCCACTAGACACTCCCATTTGTAGCTGTGCTCATTTTTGGAACATGGTTATTTTATTCAAAATAATGCTTTTTTTCTCTCTCTTAAAAAGTAAAGATGTTAAAGATATACCAAGAGCGGTTGACCCTCACTGTTTCAGGACTGGTGTACTGTATAGTATATTATTATTTAGGGTAAGGCTCAATCAAATTTACCAGTGTTTTTGATCAGAGCTGCAACTGTTCCTTCAGCAGAAATTTACAAGGGTCCAAACACAACTTGGCACTAACAGAATACAGATAACTTAAAGTGTTTCTGCATTGCACCTTGTTGCTCATTAGAAAAGGAGCATCTAAGGCATTTTACTTTCATTTCCTTGTCTCTTTCTGCCTTTGATCAGATCAGAGAGTTTCTTGCAGTCGCTTTGGGAGCTTCAAAGGCCATTTGACTAATAAAGTTGCTCCCATCACCTGCTGAGTCAACCAGAAGGCCCCAAACAGACACTGACCCTAAAAACGTTCGGAGATTCTGAATCGTGATATGGACAGGGAAACGGAAATTAAATGGATGGAAAAAATATAAGATTAAGAATGAAGTAACGGCAAGAATAATACATGAGCTGAACTATTGCTTCGTCATTAACATTATTCTCTTTAGTGTCTGCAAATTTCTTCTGAAACAAACCTAAACTCTTCTTTTGATTACGATTACAAAGGCATCGCTTTGAAAGACCGGGAAACGTTTAAAGTTGCAGTCATACTGTACAGCACTTCTTCTGTCCACACTTCCTCATTAGAAATATGTGAACTTTGTTTTCAGCCCTTGAAAAGAAGAAAGACAAGAATAATGATGCCAGATGAAAGACACCAATATCCTTTATGTAGGGCAAGCATGGGTCAGTGGCTGCCTCACAATAAGGCATGTGAATTAGGCCAAAATGGACAGTGGATGGTTTAAACCATTAAGTCCATTATCTAATGTAGTACCTTTGCCCATCACGATGGCTCTAACTCCTTCCACATGTATTCTTTTCAACCAGAAGTTTTATTGGAACAGGAGAAAATGGTTCCCTTACTCCTTCAAACAACTCCCTGTGGCCACAGTAACTGGAACGCCGCATGTCTCCTTTGAAGGTGGCATTCATGGTTTGGTCAGAGGAAATCTCAGTTCTTCTCATTAAAAGGATGGAGGGATTATCTCAGCATTAATGCATGTCATTTTAATTCAACCACCTCAGGAAAAACCACGAACTCCAAGAATGCATGGATGTGTACATGTTGCATCAGAGCTGGATGATGCATCGACAGGCTAGCAAAGTCAGCCGCTGGTAAAGCTAGCTGCCAGCGGAGGCTGTGCACCACCATTAAAACAAAATGGCATGAAAGTCAGCGGGAAGTACACCCAGGCTGTCTCCGGTGCAGACATGTTTGGAGCACTTAGAATTCTTCATTATTCTTGGAATGGTTCATTTAATATGGGGCAGGATTTGCACAAGGTGTGGTGGTTTGCAACATCGCCTCATAGAAAGAAATTTGTCGGGATCTTTCAGGGCCTTTCTGTGTGGAGTTTGTGTGTTTTGTTAAAATGTTTTTTTCAGGTACTCTGGTTTCCTCCCACATTACAAAAAACAAGCATGTTGGTTAATTGGAGGCTTTAAATTGCCAACAGGAGTGAATTTGAATGTACCTCCTCGCCTCAGCTGGGACGCAGTTCAGTTTCCCTTCATGTTAGAATCCATCCACAGGCCCAAGCAGTTCTGTAATCACTTGCAGGAACTGTTTCCACTTTCATTATTCAGATGGTCACCCACATTCAAAGGGCAGGTTTCCCAGTGTATGCTGGGACATACGCTTTTCTACGTCACCTCTCAAAGGTACGACGTGAACAGTCTAGTTAAAAAACACAACAGGTTGTATTTGTACATCTGGGTGAGATGTGCTGACCACGCACACAGTCAAATGATGAAAGAAAAATGTGAACCAAATTATGAGTTCCCCCAACTTCTGGTCCCCTGTTTATGAAATCACATACTGTTTTGTTGAAGATGATTCATGACATTTCCCTTTTAAACCAGAAATTAGTTTTTGAGTCTCAGTTTTACGGAAAACGTCTGCGGGTTTTCTTGTGTTCAAAAGGAAACGAATGGACAGAAGTGAATTGATCAGATCAGTTTTTAGGTTTGTTGTTGTTTATGCCATTTTGTTTCTCTTGCAAAGTTTTCAAACTGCCATGTAACAGTCCTGGATCCCAATCCTATGGATGCCTCATACAAATGTGTAATGTACCAGATGACCAAATAAATACATGTTTCCCATTTAATTCAACCCCATTTCAACAATAGAAATGTATTGGATTGAATTGTAATCAAGGCATGTGTCATTCTTCGCTTGAATCATGGTACAATCTTCATCTTCACTATAATGACAATCGATGAATCCGGCCTTGTTCACTACAAACATCTTCCATCGTCAAATTACCCAGAAAGATAGAAATATTGGTGCAACGTGAAGGAAACAAAATTGAATACAGATAACACAATAATGCTTTTCCTTTGACCACAAGAACCTTTCATCTTTGATTTATCATAGCTTCCAACTGTAACCATAACTGGGTTTATTGGTCTATAATCCTCCCCGCAGGGGTATTCCCTTCAGTCCTCCACTGGTCTGGCATTTAAATGACTGTTAGTGCTTTGCGTGTTTTATTGTTTGTCTTAAAAAGCAGAGGCAGTGGGACGACATTCCTGGCACTGGACTGATGTCTTACACTAAGCATAGAGTAACGCAAAGGCTCCCCATGCTGTCACAGCATGTGCTCGAGTTCATCCTGCCAAACGTAAAGTGCCAACTGGCTTGAAGTGAACTGCTCTGAAATTCTGTCAGATGTCCTTCTTCCTGTGACGCTCGCTGGGTGTGACCTAAGACTGCAGGACTACACCTAATGTAGCACATCGTAGGGCATCCGAGCGCGAACACGTCCATGAGACAGCTGAAACTCATAACAGAAAAGAACTGTTTCTAATCAGTTTACCAGAGAATTACTTGCGTTTCTCATTGGTTCAACCCTATTTCTTGGCACACAAGCAATGTTTTACAGTACTGCCTTTGGTTGAATGATGCAAACAGCGGTGATGCATCAACGATTTCACCTTACAGGGGGCCACAGACATCGTTGACGCAGGTTTTGGTGTTGTGCAATGAAAACAGGTCTTAATTCTGTTAAATCACACATAATAGTTATTGGGTCCATTCTTGTGAAATCATATAATCACTTTTCTGAAAAAGATTAGTAATTTTGGGAGAAATCCAACATATGTCAAGTGGGAGAGGTATGTTATACATCAGGCACCATGCCAGTGAAGAGACGTGTAAAGTTGATAAATGTTTCAATAAAGATGACAAATCCATGGAATTTTGCTCTGAGGCTATTTCGTCAAAAAGGGTGAATCAGATGTTTTTCCATTTTTACCTTCGTTTCTGGAGTCTACGTGGAGAATTCGGAGTATTTTTAATGAAACTCAAACCAAAGAAACCTTCAGGTTTGATTAATGAAAGATTAAACTTCACTTATCATGATGATTTCTCATAGTCTAGACTCATCTATCCTACTTTTCAAATGAATTAATCTCTTTGACTTTTGTTTCCCATCTTTTTATTCTCAAATACTACCATAGATGGGAGGTAAACATGCAAACAGTGCATGCTCTGCTCAGTGGTGAACACTGAGACATGTCCATGGAGCAGATGGCGAGCAAATGGAGATGTGACAAGCTTGGATAGCCTGGAGTGGTATGCAAGTAAAATGGATGAAACAGGCTGTTTCTTCCATCCACACCTCAAGATCAAGCTGACGGGGAGGAAACGCAGTATTTTGCATTAGGGTGAGAAGCGGGACAATGTTTGGACCAGGGAAAAAGCCAGTGATGGCCAAAGCAGTTTGTTTATTTCATTTCTTCATCATGTAGTCAACATGTAAATAGAAATGATCTCCTTGATCCAAGTGAAATGGACTCTAAGTATTCAACCTTGAATTTTGGATTCTTATACAAATAAGTTAATTTTAGCTTTTATGAAAAAATACGATTATACTGGATACTAAGGAAGCAAAGTAGATGTAAAAGGGTTGTCAGTGCTTCTTTTTTCTAAGGGGGACATGTACAGCCAGATGGTCCATCACAGCCACATGGCACTCCTAGAGGCAGATCAGTCACATAGCCGTATCATAAGGTGAGCAGATAGGCCTCTTTATTTATTTCCATAAAGTACTTTTTCAATACATATAATGCATACAAGTGCTCAATTGAAACTTGTTGTTCCATTTGTGGTAACTG